CCCCCCCCCACGTGACCCACCCGCTCTCACCCCGACCCCGGCCCGTATCTACCCCGACGCCCACCTACCTCTAGCCTTTATTTAAGGGTCTAAGGGAAAATAGTAATTGTTTAGGCTATAGCCTCTAAATCAACTTTTTAGTAAAGATTTCGAAGCCCTAATATGCTACTACTATTAGACTATATATCTTCGGGTATACCTTATCTAGTACTTTCGATATTAAGGTTTTATATAGTATTATTTTTAAGGGGGCACACTGTAACGAATACTCAAACTGGCTAACTAAACTTGGCTGGGTGTTCGCTGGTTGGTATGCTATGATAAGAAGAAGACTATCGGGTTGTTCACTTGGAAGTGAACTCGTTACTTGTATCAAAGATGTCAAACTAATATGATAAGATTGATAACTAAGTTGAGCACGAAGCTCCTATCTAATGGCAGACGTGCCAGTCTTATATAGAATCCTCATTCCTATGATCGCTGCTGGTCGCCGCGATCAAGACGACCTGGCCGTTGTAGTCGCTCGCGACCAAGCGACCACTACTGGTCACGTGATAACAATACAGAGAAATCCCTGGATCGCTTAGCTACTCCAAACGATCCCTGTTTGCTATAAGAAACCTGGATGTGCCTGTCGAGGGTTGCGCCTCTTATTATGACAAGTATCACGTGAGCACGTGATTCGTGACACCTAACTCTAAAATAGTAGAATAAATAATACCTAGGAATACTTTAAAACAATAATACTTTTATATAACGTGGTTTATCAGCGAGTCGATCACTTTTCCTTGGCACTACCTCCTCAAACTTCAACACACGTTTTCTTCAACTATTTACCATGGAAATTCAAACTCAAGAAGCGCGAATTACTCTAGCTATCGAGGCTATTCGGTCGTCCAAAAAACTAAGCAAACGCTCTGCGGCAAAGATCTACAATGTACCATATACGACTCTTTCCGACAGAATGGCTGGCCGAACCTACCGCCCAGATTCTCAAGCCAATTGTCATAAGTTGACTGAGTTAGAAGTGGAAGTGATTATTCGGTATATACTGGATATGGATTCCAGAGGATTTGCGCCCCGGCTCGCTGGTGTAGAAGATATGGCTAATTTTATCCTTGAATCGCGGGGGGGAAGACGCGTCGGCAAGCTCTGGGCCCATCGATTCGTACAACGACAACCAGACCTTAAGACGCGTTTTAATCGCGTTTACGACTTCCAGAGGGCCTTATGCGAAGATCCTGACGTGCTAGGCGCATGGTTCCGGCTAGTAGAGAATATGAGGGCGAAATATGGGGTTACAGACTCCGACTTCTACAACTTCGACGAGACAGGCTTTATGATGGGTGTTATTTGTCCTAGAATGGTTGTTACTCGTGCAGACCGACGTGGTAGAGGCAAGGCAGTTCAGCCAGGCAATCGGGAATGGGCTACAGCAATTGCCTGTATTAATGGGGAGGGCTGGAGTATTCCTCCATTCTTGGTAGTTCAGGGCAAGAACCATCTCTCCAACTGGTATACCGACGGCGGCCTCCCACCTAACTGGGTTATGAAACCGACAAGCAATGGTTGGACAAATAATGAAACAGGCCTGGAATGGTTAAAGCACTTTGATAAACACACTACAGCTCGTGCAAAGGGTCTGTATCGAATACTAGTTTTGGATGGGCACGAGAGTCATGAATCGGCTGAGTTCCAAGACTACTGTACGAAACACAACATTATTACTCTTGGACTACCTCCTCATTCATCCCATCTAACCCAGCCACTTGATGTTGGGTGCTATAGTGTGTTAAAACGAGCGTATGGTCGGCAGATTGAGACGTTTATCAAGGCCCATATCAACCATATTACAAAGGTTGAGTTCTTTCTAGCCTTTACAGCAGTACAGCAGCATACAAGGAAACAATGACAGTCCTAAACTGTCAGTCTGGATTCCGCGGAGCTGGCCTAGTACCATTTAACCCGCAAGCAGTGCTTTCAAAGCTTGACGTAAGGTTACGGACTCCAACTCCCCCTCGGACGTGTAGTGCCAACTCCCTCCCCTGGGTGTCCCAGACCCCTTCCAACCCAACTGAAGCCCTTTCACAATCAACTCTTGTACGAAATCGTATAGCCTGTCATCAAGGAAGCTCACCAACTCCACTTTTTCAAACAGTTGCTGCGTTAGCAAAGGGTACAGAGCGAATGGCACATGAGATGACCCTTTTGTCTGCTGAGGTCCGTACCCTTCGCGCTGCAAATGAAGCCCTAAGTAAACGCCGTAGGGCTAAAAAGACTCGTGTCCGCCAAGGAGGGGCACTTATAGTAGAGGATGTACAGGATATGTTAGCTCAGGAGGATGTAGATGAGCAAGTACGACGCGACATGCGTGAGGCGGGGGTTGGTTATAAGGAGGGGCAACCTTCTAGGCGGCGCTGTAGAACTTGTGGAAAAGCTGGTCATAACGCGCGAACTTGTCAAGAAGTTATAGATATATCTAGTTCGTCAGATATAGAGAGCGATAATTAATTTAATATATTGTGGTTGATTTATTTAGGTGTAAAGTTCTGTGCCAAGAAAAAGTGATCGACTCGGTGATATGATCGACTCGCTGATAAACCACGTTATATAGAATAATATTTAGGTTAATATTCTAAAGGACGCTAGACTTAGAAAGAATAGAGTAAAATTACTATTTAAGGTATAAGATAGACTTATATACAAGTTACTACTAAAAGATATCCTAGGTTACCTAATACGTTTATATTTACCTTATAAAATAGTAATATAAGTACTAGATTTAATCTATAGGCATAATTATCCTAGATTTTAAAAGCTCTTTAATATCTACTTAAGAGGTTTCTTTTTACTAAGATTTTCTATAATTATTTAATCTTATCTTTTATACTATTTTAAATACTAAGTTTATTAACCTAAGAGGTATATACTATTTAGATCTTTATAACCTTTAGATATCCTACCTGTTGGTACGACCTGGTTGTCGTAAAGGGTGATAAACAAACATAATCTCTCTTTGTATTCATTCGTGTATGAAGAGTAAAGGTAAAGATAAGCCTTTATTACTTAGTTGTTATATAATAACTAGAGTATACCTAAGGTAATTATCTTAGATCGAGATCCTAAGTTTTTATTAGAGTTTTAGAAAGGTATATTTAATAAACTCTAGAATAAATTACTTTATAGTATAGCTTACTATCTATAAACTAATAGATAAAGTAAGTATATAAATTAGATAGTAGAAATTATATTATAGTTCTATCTTAACTAGCTTAATAATATTAAGCTATAGAACTATGATTTACTACTTTTATAGTTTAAACTTAATAATACTCTATTAACTTTAAATAGTAAAAGTCTAAATAAGAATATATATAGATTTAAACCGAATAATATAAATAACCTTCTTAGACTAGAACTACTAGTTTAACCTTAATCCGCCTAGGAGTTAATAGACTTTTTAGAACTCGCTTAAATATATATAAAGACGTATTTCGACAAAAAGTATAAACTACTCTTTTTTAAGCTAGGAGATAAGGTATTCTTAAAATTATATAAAAGATACTATATCCCTTTAATAAAAGTCCTTAGATATAAACTCTTCTATTAATAAAGTAGACTACTTAAAGTAATTAAGCGAATTAGACAACTTATATATTACCTTAAATTACTATTTCGGGGAGTAGGCTGTGATTAGCTAGGGGTTGCCGGGGTGGGGCGGCGGGAGGGGGGGAAATCGGCCATGTGACCCAGCGGGTGAGGGCTGAGATAATANGGGGAGTAGGCTGTGATTAGCTAGGGGTTGCCGGGGTGGGGCGGCGGGAGGGGGGGAAATCGGCCATGTGACCCAGCGGGTGAGGGCTGAGATAATACTTTGGTATATTGATATATAAGGGAGGATAGGTAAGATGGTGAATTGGGTTTGTTGTAGAGATAGTAGGGAGGAAGGGGGGAGAGGGAGGAAGGGGGGTTGTATTTGGGTGTTTATTAGATGGGAGGTAATAGATGGGAGGTAATAGATGTGTCACGGATGCCAACAAAGGATAAAGTGTATACAGCTTTTGAATCAATTGCTAGAACTAAAACCGTAGGTACGAAGAAATCAAACTAAAGAGAGAAGAGAATCTGAAAGGAGCGAAGTTATTTAAGTTGTTCCAATGCCAAGTCTCGTCACGTGCTTGGCCAAGCGAATGAAATCCTGTCAAATGAAATCCAGCTCCGTCACAAGATGGTCTGCGGGATGGGGATGAGTAGGGTTGTGGGCGTGATAAGATTTTGTACAGTGATTAGGAGACTGAACGGATAGTTTTTGGTACGAATTGATGGATTACTGTGTGGAATACATAGATGGGGGATCTTAAGGGTTCTTTAGGATATGTAAGAAATTTTTAAGGAAATTTAAATAGGAAAGAGAGAAAAGTTAATAATCTATTTTCTAGTTAGTATAATAAATAAATAACCTTGGTAGGATTATTTGTAAAGTTAATTATAATTTAGGGGCTTCTAGTATGGTAGGAAGGATCTTGAAGACGAAAGCGCTAGTATAAACAGGATATATGGGATTTATATTAAAGATTTAGGTTTCCTCTTTTTTATATTCGAGAACGGGGAATTTTTACTTGGTATAAGAAATTAGGAAAATGGAGTAGGAGATAAGGTAAGGGGATAGATAGTAGTAGAAAGAATATATAGAGAGGGCTTTCATGAAACTTGTTGTCAGGACTTGTAGCAAAGGCTGATGAATTGAACTACAGAGGTTGTCTATGTACAAGAAGATTCGATTGTCCTTCCCAAAGCAGCTTCCCAGCCCTCTCTATATACCACAGAACTGGCTACGTGTCCTTTACCAATACTCTAGGAGGTTCCACCAAGTCTGCTTAGAGGTCACGTGCACATGTCGCTGGAGCACTCCAAGACTCACTCCACGGGTGCAACCCTTGACGCTTGTAGAATAGAGAATAAAGGGTATGCGCAAGGTGTGTTAGCTAGCTACTTTAATATTCTTTAGGGTATATAAGCGGAGCTTGTAGCTTATTCTTAGTATTATACCTATATACAAGTATTACTTTCTAAATTACACCCCTAATTTGATAATTACGTCCTAGTCTGAAAAGATAAGTTACTTTAGTAATTTAGACCTAAGCTAAGAACTCTCTGTACCCCTTATCTAAGCGAGAGTTTTCATTACGTTATAATTAAGCGACTACTTTTCAAGTTTCTTATTAGGCTATATCTCTACAGTTAGTATTATATTTACTTTAGTAAAAGTGAAAACAAAGGAAAGGTAGTCTTTTTATAGCTTAGGGTTCTAATTAAAGAGAACTAAGATATAGTTTTCATAAGCGACAGATTTAGAGAATACGTTTTCTTTATAGTTTATATAATATATACTGTTTAAAATTGTTATAAGGCCTTGTAAACTAAAACCAAACGTGTAAAGACTGTTTCTAACCTGAGATTCCTGCCTAGTTTTAAAGTATAATTTAGAACTACTAATATATAAAATTTCCTTATATAACACTAATTTTCATCCGACGTCTTTCTAACTTTAAATAGCACTATATCTATAATGTATGTTTAAGTGATTTAGTAAAACTTTTCTATCTATTCACCAGCCTTACGTATACAGATGTCGACGTTCTTTCACGCTTCTATTGCGTTTTCTGAATTCACTACAAGTGAGTCAGATACCTCTTATAATAGCTGCCTTGACAAGGGTGGCATTCTGGCGCATTCTGGGGCTATCATAAAGCCCTTGTAGTATATTCTACGGAACAAACTCAAAAAGCCCTCCGGGAGATCAATATCTTAAAATCTTTATCACAGGTACACACTGAAATTCGCTGCCACTTATTAGAGCATACAACTACAACCATAAATTCTGAATCCATGAGATCTAGGCAGTCTACACCCGCATTTGGATCCCTTGAAATTTCTGGTCTGGTAGATGGTAATGAATATTACGGAACTATCGCACGCCACATTTCGACTAATGGGACGAATAACGCAGGCTCATATATTCTTCTGAATTCGTCCACAGAAAACCCACTTCTAATAGAAGTACTTCCAGTTCGTTCACACTCCCTCCTAACCCCTCTTCTCCTCGTAGGATTTCTCAAATCTTGAAAAAGTCACTCACAAAGAATGCAAATAACAATAAAGCCAACCTCATCGCTATACAATTAATAAACCTCGTCTCAACTAACACACCCACAGCTCCGCTACCCATCTCCCCAAGAAATTCACGCCTACGAAGAAACCTTCCGCTTCCTCCGCGGCGAAAAGATAGCCTTCACACCAACGCGAATACTCACCTCTAGCCTCGAGACTCCCTCCACAAAACCGCATTTCACAACCAAACGAGGCCGTCTCTTCCTCCATGGCATACCACTCTTTCTCAAAAAGGACTTCGCTGTGAAGTCGGAGATTTGGATAGATCCTACCAAACTCACAAGCCTACCCATCAATACATTGCGCCTCTCCAAGCCGAACAAGGAGGGAATGATTCTGGGTCTGGATGTTGAGAGTTCCATCCGCTTGAGGGAGTTGATGGTGCTGTATAAGGGGAATGAGGACGCGTGGAGGTTTGTAAAGGGGATTAGGAATAAGATGGGACGGAAGAGGGAGCTTATGAGGGTTAATAGATGGGCCGAGGTGGAACTTTTGGAAGAGCAGATTAAGGGGTATTTGGAGCTGTTGAAGGGGTTGGTTGGTGTTGTGGAGGATGACAAGGAGTTGGAGGCTAATGGTGTTACTTGGGCGGGACAATTGAAGGGGAGGGATGAGATTGTTGAGAAGGAGGTTATGACTAACGATGAGGGTGCGATTTTTGAGGGCTTCGTGGATGTTAGAGATAGTGGGAAGGATGATTGGGTCTATCTTCATAGGTGTGGGAAGGAGGGGGCGAGTGTTAAGGTATGAGTGAAGATTAAGGGGAATCTGTGTTGCCTATTCTCCGAGGAAGTTCATGGAAAATGGACTCGGATGCCTCAGACTAGTTTGTACAATTTCCGGGGTGTAAATTAAGTTGATGTTACGTGGAAAAGCTTGAGTTTTTTTCTGTTACTAAATTCTGTTCACTAGTTATATGATTTACGTATTCCATCTACATTAAACCCCGTCTACGAGTTTCTATTCTTTTGCTTATCTGAAGTATTTATATTCTAGCGATTTCATTAAGATAATATTAATTTAGGTCATTTATGAATAATTGAAAAGGTTGTTTATGTTCATATTAATTCTCTTATCTTTTCCAAATATTATTATTACTTCTTGAATCATCCCGTAACGTTTGGTATCAAAATCCAAATCGTGTCGCTGCCAGCGGAAAATGAAACAGGCTCTGCAAGGCATAATAGCTCCATGTCTTTTGCACGATGAATTGTCTGCTGCCTCTGGCATATCTGCGAGGAGTACTATAGGGAAGGCTCTCACAAGAGTCTCAATCTCGTCAAATATCAGCACCGTTCCTTGCGCTAATCGGAGAATAGCTGGCCGGATATTGTTGATCACATCCTCTTTCTCCGCACCATGTGGTCCCAAGGTAAGCGTGAAGTTGTTCGCTACCTTTCTTCGCTCCGAATAGTCCAAATTTGCAGGGGTTAAATAAAACGCCTTGAGAGCCCTGTAATCTTACATATTTCTATGTACCCCGAAATTATCTATGAACAAACTCCACTGTAAAGAGCGGCAGGGTGGTCTGGGATGAAAGAGAATGCCTCTAAATTTTCTCTTCTAAAACTTTGTAGTTCAATGTCTGCGCGTACAGGCGTTGTAAATCGTAGTGCAACCTATTCGTTTCGGGTAGCACTAGTAATAAAGCGTCGTATATAGTCTATCCCAAGTTTGCGGGTTTTCAACTGGTCCTACTCACTCACAATCTTTCATATATATGGAACCCAGTCCAGTCCGATAAGCAATTCCAAATATTCATCCAAAGAACCTAACAGCGTAAAAACTAGGCCACAATATAGATGTCGCTAGTAGGCATGTCAATCCTCGATCTCAACTTTCGCTCAACAGGCATTTAACCCAATGTTCTCCCAGTCTTCTGGGGGAATTTCAGTATATTTACCGAAAGAATAATGAGCTCAGATTTGTCATTCTTGAAGTCAAAACTATCGTCCTTGAAGAAAGCATATCCTGTCTAGAACTTAAGTATTCCAAACACCATGATCCTGAAATCATGATACATAAATGAGGACGAAGAAAACTCATTTTGATCAGACGGATAGTATTCAGTTTTGAATGCACATAAGTTTGGGCTGAGCAACTCCTCAGAATTAGATCCTATGTTGTGGAACTTGCTAGAGTGCTAGTCTCGGGAAGATGAAAGAGAATAGAATCACAATGCCTTTATTACCAACCATTGCTTTCGATCCCTCGACAATCACGCTCATGTTATTGCAATTTAGGCTTCATTCCCCTCATAGTTGCGAACCCCCATAAGAAGTGGTTTTGTAGAAAAGTCAACGAGGTTCTTTCATATCAGATCGAAAACTCTTTAAGGTAGCATAAATAAACCCGCTCATATATGAGACGACATTGAAAGAAGAAGATTCAGGTGTAGACTTTGTTCCAGTATCAGAAGTGTTTTAGTTGGGATACTTGAACAATCCAATCATGTAGCCAAACTAGTTAATCACTACCTCAAAGTTGAGTAACATATTCCCTCGTAACAGCGCGTTGAAAAGCTTTACCCCGGAATATCCTCATCTGGTTTATACCTCGGATGTCGCGGCAACCCTCCAGCACCACTAATAGAAATTTCCTTGACCCATTCAATACCACAATCCCACCAAAGCTGTCTTGTTGGTTCCAACGCCCCACCAACAAGATCCTCCTTACCCACAGTTCCCAAAAACAGGTCCAAAATATCCGGCTGCCACCCCTCCGGCATAGGAAAGGCAAGATAAGCAACATTCGTTCCACACCGATTGCAGAACCATCTTCGACGGCCCACAGAGGAATCGTAGAAATCGAGAAAAGAGTCGCGATCGATTGTCCCTGAGTGGAAGTGTTTATTGCCCGGTTCCCAAGATGTTCTTTCCTCGTTAGATTTGCTGTCTGGATCCCGCTTTGATGGATCCAATGCGAGAGAAGCTTTAGAACGAATGACGAGAGAGCTTGTTATCATGGATATTGGGGTACAGAAGGCTAGAGGAGGTATAGCGCCTGTGGCACGACGGCAATCATTGCAATGGTCGATACATGAGAATGGCAAATGGACTGGGTCTTCGCTTGCCGAATGTGGATGAAGGGGTCGTTATTCGAGGGGAGGGATTGAGGTTTTGTAGCAGATAGCACCACAGTTGCAACCTCCTCCGACTTGCAAAGATTCAGGAGGCAAAGGCATAGTTGCTTTCGAGATGTGGTAGTTGGTAAATGGGTGGGTGGGAGCTAACTTTTGTATCCCAAGATCTGAGGTCTAGTGGGTGTGTTGGTTGATTGCTTACTGTAGATTGAAAGCTGTTGGCTTACTCGCATGATTATTAACGAATAGAATCAATGGTTTAGAGAGCAATGCGTGAGCAACCTCCGAGGATTCGACAGTACTCCCTAGAACTCTTTTGGTCATGAAATTGGGCGTAAAAAGCTTCATCTAATGTAAAGTTAATATCCATAGGAAAGTATTGGGTTGAAAGGGTATTGGGTACTGAAGGTCATGGAGAATTGATTGCATTGTAAAAGGTAGCTATCTAAGGTGTTTATATAAAGAGTGTTAGTTTTATGCAGACATGAAGCATTTAGGCAGCAGAGCTATAAGTGGATCAAATCAGGAAGTGGAGCAAAAGAGAAAGTAGACCCAGCACAACAGAAAGACTACAAGGAGGAGAGCTCTTCAAGTGTAAAGTAAGTTACAAATAAGTGTTAAATACCCTAAAGTGACGCTAGTGCTGCTAGTATGAAGTGACAGAATATTTTGTATTCTCAGCATGTGACTTAATTTCATGTAGTGGCGCAAAGTATTGAAAGAAAAATACCACGGCAGGTGTCGTATGTTTTGAAGCAAAGTGTGACATTGCCTGTTGAAGATGCTCAAAATTTAAGGGACATACGGAAGTGGAACTAGTAAAGACTCAGGATACGAAATTTTCCTCTCTACTGAACTGGCGGCGGATATTAGCATTGCATTTTGAACTCCCCAGTACAAAAGAAAACCAGATACTCACAGGGTAGTATGCACTTCTCAAGTGGAGATACCACATTGTTATGAAATCCAAGTGCGGGGTGCCAATCTTCCTCGTCCTTCGCTTCTGACATTGTAAGACACCAATGAACCACATCCCGGAATAGTGATCCGACGCGGAAAGCAAGTTCCGTTCTTACTCTCCCCAAAACTCGGATCTTCAGTTCCAAAGCTTCCTCCGTGTGAAAAGTTGTCATCGCTGACGAAAGCTTAACCGTGTTTGACTTCACCCCTTTTGCATCGAGCATAGTAGAAATGGGGGTCCAAAGTGCAATCTCGGTCAGAACCATACCAAAAGAATATATATCATACTTCATTTTGTATCCGCTAGCCGCATCCCCTTGGTACTCAGGGTGTCTGTATATTGCTGATTGAAGGTCTCGAAGCTGCTTTCCTTTGTCGATGGTGGCAGCTTCCGTATCTTGACGTGAGTACTCGAATCCACCAAGATAAGGTGTAGTGACATCTGTCGATTTATCTTTCCAGCTGAGAGCACCTTTGTCGTATAAATCTGGAAATAAGATGTTTTCACTGCGAATCCCTTTGTGCATCCAGCCACTGTTAAACAGTTCGGCTAAGGTCTTGGAAAGTAGGCTGGCCAACATTAAGCGATCTTCAAGCGGGGGTTTGTACTTCAATGGAAAGAGACTTTTGAGTGACACTGGTTGAGAAGAACCCAAATCGACCACACTTTCTGAAAACGGGCATTGAAAAATAAGCCACCACGAGAAGGAACTTGGATCTTCGCAATATCCAACGGCTTGGAATGCTCTAAAGTCACCGGATATTCTTGAACTGAGAAGCAAAATCAGCCTATCTAATCGGGCTTTCAGTGTCCTTTTATCCTGGATGTTTATATCTGGGTCGTATTCTTTTCTTTCTAACAGAAAAGGGCCCGCTCCTAGCACGCCTCGGATTGCTGGCTTTGGGAGGGCGAGTAGTCGGTTTTGGCTTCGTAAATCTTGAATTAAGAACTCGTCCAGCTCTCGTCGTGCCAAGCTATGTGCTCCGGTGTGTGTTCGCACAGGAGAGGAATGATGTATCGCTTTCTTTGCCACCAGAGAGTCTATTCCAGATATGTCTGGGGGTCGTTCATCCGAAAGATCATGTCGTAAAGCTCGCTGGAGTAAGTCAAGCTGGTCAGGTGGGACATTTCCAACCAAGACGATATTTATTCTCTTCCAGTCATCCCTTTCGGACCTCCTCTGTGTTTCTGTCAACAGGTCGTCGAGTTTATTGATCGTTGACTCAAGAGTGGAGACAAGGGTGAGAAACTTTGCTTTGGATACCAGAGCCCACTTGATTCGACTAGAGACTTTCTTGCTATCCTGCTCCTTAGTCTTCTCATCGATATCAAGCTTCATCCCCATGGAGCGAATTGATGAAGCCATTCCCGAAAGGATGCTGTGGGCTTTATCAGGTCGTGGCGTTCTAGCTGCATCGGATATGGTTAAGCCAAAAGACTCCTTCACTTTTTCGGCTTCTTCGAAGAGTCTCGTGATGCGATTCAATCTTTCAGCAACAAGTTCATGGATTGAGTGGAGATTGGGGTCGAATGTGCCTTTCGTTAATCCAGCATTCAAGGCCCACGTCTGGAATCGAAAGCGCTCGATTTCGAGTCTCACTACTGCGTCTGCCGACTCATCGTCGTAATTCAAGGCATCTTGGAAGGCTGACCATGCCTTTATGGCCATTTTGTAGGAAATAGTAACCACTGCGATGATAGTTCCAGGATCGGCCATGGTGGTTGTAGTTGTGGTGGGATAGTGCCAGAATCAAGACGTTGTGAGTGAGACTCAAAATGGTGCCTAAACTCGTTGTGGATCAGAAAAGCGGCAGCAAACAGCCCTACTCATGCGAACCCAACAGATTGAATCTTCATTGTCCCAAGGTTTTCGCACAATGGAAATAATTAAAAATGATTTCAAACACATTTACAGGAATCAATCCGGAGATCTGGATTGATCACTTTGGGACAAAAACAGAACAAGAGAAAGAATTCCTCATGTCTATCGGAGTACTGTAACTTAAAATAGATAATATACTGTAATAAAAGCGGCAGTACGTAACTTCTATTGTCAACTCTTTGAATTGGCGCAAGAAACTCCATGAGACAATATCTTTCTCACTCTTCCATGTTCAGGTTGATATTTCGGAACTTTTTGGACTTTGTAACATAATCGCTAGATTTATCCTACTACTTTTCTTGAAATTCTGGACCTACAAATACTGTATGAGATGCCTGTTTACTGCTGCCTTACTGTCCATTTCAAGTGTCACGCGTGGATGTGGCACAGTAGGTCACATTAGATATTGGCACTCAAAAAGCGGCACTAAGAGGTTTTCTCGTTCTGATTTTGAAGGTTATTTCCGTGAGTTTTCTGAGGTCACCGAATAGTCAGTAAATTGATTTTTCTTGCAAAATTACAGCGTAGCAGTGTTACTTGGAGTGTCTGAACCTATTGTGTTAAATACTACAGAAGCTTGGCACAGTACCTAGGCAGGAAATATCCGTTCCCTCGTCGCTTTTACAGTTGTTAAATTTACTGCATGCTATCGGACTTAGTTACCCTCATGATCAGCTTTGATTTCTACATGGTGGACTGTACGAGTACTGCACAAGCTGCGTTTCTTGAACAAGACTCGAAAGAATGAGTTCAAGTGAGTACCAGTATGTCTCTACCTTCGACACGACCCAGACAACACAACTCATAGTTAATAATACGGTAAATTCCTCGTCAGCAAATGGTGTTCTCACCCCAACAGACACTGCTTCACCAGAGTCAAACTTGGTTCAAAATGGGGACTTAGCTGCATTTGTTAGCCACGTTCTTTACCTGGAAAACAAATTGCGAACCGAGACTGGAAACGTTCTTTTCGATACTGAAAATGAAGTATTCGGTTCCAAAGTTGACATTGGCGAGGGAGCTTCATTTCGTGTCCAGAGAGCAGAATGGCGACCGAACGGTAACGGCAGCAAATCTGGCTCGGAAACAAAATGGGGCAAATACGTCGCCCTAAAGGCTGTTCGTGCGAAGCATAACAATGGGAAGAGTGACTGGCGAGAAGTTATATCGGAAGTCAGGTATGGAGCGGCGTTGGCAGTTCTAGTCACCCGTCTACAATACAAAAACTAATAATCATCAGATGCCTTCTCCATGAGCCGCTAAGATATCATCCAAATTTGGTACGCTTACTGGGAATTGGTTGGGGTCCATCAGCCGACAGCAGTTCAGTATATCCTCAACTCGTTATGGAGTTTTCCGAAATAGGGTCTATGGATGCACTTCAACGGCCGAATGAGCCTCTTCCTTTTGCGATCAAGCAGAAGCTATGTTATGACATTGGACGCGGGCTGTCAATCTTACACGCATGTGGGATCATACACGGCGATCTCAATCATCGAAACGTTCTCATATTCCCAAATACAGTCAAAGCCGCTGGTCAGCCATACACAGCAAAGATCTCTGATTTCGGTGGCTCAATTATGGATGTGACGAGGAACGACAGTCGCTTGCTACGAATGTCAACCTGGCCATATGGTGCTCCAGAAATTGGAAAATCACTCACAGAGGAAGTAATCAAGAAGACTGATGTTTACTCATTTGGGCTTTTAATCTGGAGAACAGTTCTAGATTGCGGAAACATCTTACAGATTTTTGACCTAACAGGCGAAAGGAGCTCACATTCCGAGGAAGTGGTATCTAACCTGAAGCTTGGCGGTTCCTTTCTTTCTGGAGCTGAGAAAAGCATCCATGAATACCAGGCAACAAAAGGTCTTCACAAGGATGCTCTGGCGATGATCATTCATGCCTTGAAATCCACAATACAGTATGAGCCATCAAATCGAGACCTGACATGTACTCAATGTATTTTGAATGGTATAGAGTAAGTCTTACACCACTGTATCTTAGACGTGGCTGGACCAATATATCATGGTCCTTGATACTGAAATGAAATTGGTACTTAGTGCAAAAGAAATTCCTGCCTATCTTCAGTGGATCAATAAAAAGAATGATAGAGATGCCGAGCAGAAAAGAGCAAGAGCTCCGGTTTGTCGATATATCTTCTATTCCATGCTTCGTACTTACACTGTTTAGGGACTTCACGGTCTCACTCCGGACGGCCTTGGTGCTGCACTTGGGAGAATGGGCTACGATCATGACCCACAAGACAATAAGTATGTGTTTTCCAAACTGAATGCTGAGTATCTACACTTGACCTTTTTTTCGGCTGCTGGGTATCGGTAGTACACATGCTGAGAAGTTCAACAGACCAGGATATCGGCCAGTATTAGACCATCCAGAGGCCGGAGAAGTAAGTCTTCGAATGATGTTATTCCGAAATGGTTACAGCATACTAATAAGCCTGCAAAGTTTCTCTTTGAACCTCTGAGATTGAAAAATATACTAAATTGGCAACAACAACAACTCATTGTCAAAGAATTTGAGCGCGCAGCCTCCATGGCTCCTCACGACTCACCTATTGAGCTTCAACCACATATGGCAGCATTCTGCCTCTTTCAATGCTACCTAACCGAATTCGGTACTTCTTTCGACGCAGAACGAGTGGTTCACTGGATTTCACAGGCTAGTTCTGGCCCAGAAGATGCTGGAGGTGTCATCTACTATGCTCAAGCATGGATATGGAGAATATCAAATGCTTTCGACATGGCTTGTCCAAAGCCCGTTGATGAGCTGAAAACCTTTTTGAAGATGAGTATTCTTCGAGGACATCGCACATGCTTGATAGACGGAGAATTTATCTGCGATCATTCTCTGAATGACGATTCACCACCATCATGGGACATCATCCTTCGAGATAGCCGATTATTACTTAATAGAATCGCTGCTGGACTCGGAATGCCATACTTTGCACATAGAAAACTTCGCAGGGACTACAATCTGCATGATCTTCCCCATCTCGATGACTTGATAAAGCAAGAGTTGGGCGGAAGTTACAACAAGTGCCTGAAACCTGATACAACACAGCCGAGTAAACATCCCCAGGAAGCCAGCGAACGACCAAAAGCACCAAACTTCGAGTCCATATTTGTCAATCACATCGGACATGGTTTGCTTCACTATGCAGCGACCATGGGTAACTACCCAGCGCTTCTACATATGATATCCAAATATCAGGTCGATATCGATGTGAAAGATCAGACTGCCTACGAGACACCTTTAGTCTGTGCTTGTCGTTCTGGAAACTTCACATGTGCTATGCTTCTCTTGGAGCATGGTGCTAACCCCAATGGTTCTGATAGTGGCGTTGAAACACCTTTGTATTGGCTCTGTAGTTTTAACGGGGGAGAATTGACGGAGCTTGCACAGAAACTCGTTGATGCTGGGGCATACATTGATGGTGGAGGAAAGAATACCATAAGTAAGGTTCTTTCTGATTTGTGATGGTTCTTCTACTAACTTAAATCTTCTCTACGCTTTCGAATACCGTCATTGACTAAATGATTTATACAGGGAGTGACGTGCGTTTCATTTTGGCAGACTGGGAAAAGCTGTTTACAGTCCCAGTAACCAATCTGGGCCGCGCAGTCATAATGAACAATATAGAAGCAGTCCGGGTGCTCCTGAAACTCGGAGCAAATCCGTTGGCCAAACCCGACCGCAAGAAAGATGAACGGGAAAATAGCGCTGTTAATATTGCTGCGCTCCTTAACCTTCCTGAAATCCTGGAGACTTTGCTACTTCATTTGGTTTCAGCCGACGTTGAACAGTCTAGTAAGAGATCCGATCATTCCTTCTTGTAAAGGGATTAGCGGAGAAAATACTAACCGATATGATATCAGAATCTCATATCTTCGATGAAGGAGAAATGCTTCTCGCAGCCCACAGCAAAAAGAATCTTCCATCCGATACTACTCTCCTTCAATCTCGACTAGTGAGACACGGTTCAAGTTACAAATCGTCAATGTCCAAAACGCTGAAACTCCTTCACTCAAATCGACAAAAGTACCCTAAAGTCTCCAAGGCGGGAGATTCTCAAACTATCCCAGAGGTCTCAGAGGGTCTAGTTCTTAGTCAAGAAGTCAAGCTTGGAAATATCGATATCGCCGAGACCCTCATTGCCCTTGATCATTCTCCAAATGGCTCCCCAGATCACCGACCCCTCGTAGAGGCAGTAAAACTCAACCACGAAAATTTATTCAGGTCACTTATTCAACTCGATGCCGATATCAATGTGAAGTATACCCTGGATGATGGTCGGCAGTACTCACTACTACAAGTCTTCGCTGATCGTCCAAGATCCTCTCAACCGGATCTGTTCATCGCTGAGTTTCTTCTTAACAAGAAAGGAATGTCACTAGACTCTATTTCGGACAGCACACCTTCAGCGTTTTGCTTGGCGGTGTTGAATCAGGATTTCGAGCTGGCCGACCTTCTTCTAGAACATGGAGAAAATGTAAATCACACATACCAGACAGAGCTAGAAGGGCCAACGATCACAGTCCTAGCCGAGCTAGCTCAAACCCACACTGCAAAAAACTTAGCAAGCATCGAGTACATCCTCTCGCTAAAAGGCCAAAACAATCCAAAGCAGGGGAACGAAGAGCACCTCAAAAGCCCAGAACAACCCAAAAGCTCCCCACCAATCCTAGACTTCATAGTCGACAAGACCAACTCCCTCTCAATCCTCCACATTCTCTCTCGCACTCCCCACGAAACACTCAACAACACCGCCCAAACAACACCCCGCATCATAAACACCATAGTGAAAATGTTCAGTCTGCCAGAACAAATCAACAACCACCATCCCATCCACGGCACACCCCTTTGTCTCGCAGCTTCAACAGCAAACGTACATATGGTATCCACATTATTAGAACACGGAGCGGGTATCACCATCGAAGCACCCAGCTTACCCCAAGAAATTACCGATCGCTATGGAAGTGTTGGAGATTCCTCCTCAGTTCCCGCTACACCTCTGCATATCGCTCTAATATCCGCGTGTATCCAATTTATGGACCAGCGTTCAGTATCATCTACTTCCAATCACTTGTTTCTCGCGAAATTACGAGACAGTCTCCAGATCGTGGAACTGCTGTATTCACAACAAGATATAGAAGCCGGGGGCGATGGCTCGAAAGGCGCAGACTTTACTGGGCACCAATTGCAAAGCTGGAAAGACGCACTAAAGAACCGGGAGAAAGGGGGATCGGGAAGTCAGAGATTTGGCGGGTTGATGAAGTATGTTAAGGACTGGGGAGGGTTAAAGAACATGTGGGATGATGAGGAGGAGGGTAGGCCGGTGAATTTATGGGGGATGGAGGATCGTGAGGGACAGAAACGGAAAAGTGAGGTGACGGGTAAGGAATTAATAGGCTATTAGCGTACTGTGTAAGTTGAGTGGGGGTTTTCTTGAAGAGTCCCGTCTCTTGAATTAAATGGGTATCTTTCCTTTTACAAATTTAAATCTGATAATCAGGGCCTGTTTAGATCGCTGAATTTAAACAACTAGCACTGTACGAGAAACTATGTTTGTAAATGTAGATTTGTTTTATAAAAATCTTAATGTATACTGCTGTTTGAATAATGTAATATGATTTCTATTCATCTGTGCTGATTTATACTACTAAACTGAAATTATCAAAGATTGGAGGCCTTAACCCTTTGACCCTTTTCTTTCCTACAAATCTACTTACAAATTTGTGTCTACCTCCGACTTATAGTATATCCCTGGGCCCTTATAGTGTCCCCCTATCATATCCCTCCTAACAGAAAGCAAAACTCGGCCAACTTTTAGCCGTAAAGCGAAGGCACAACAGAGTGGGTGTACATCTATAAGTAGATTTATACGTGAAGTAAAAGATTTCGCGATCTAAATGGAACCCTAACTTGATTCTCTGGTAATCTTTAGTTTGAAATACTTGAAATAGGCGAGTCGGGAAGTTACCTAGACGAGGTAGATATAACTTGCTACTGCACTAATTTTACTATCTATGGGAAATGAATCGTGGTTTTGGGAAATAATTATGACCTGATCTTATAAGCAAAAGAGAATCAGGGGACTCGCGTTGATTTACTGGCTTTTGATCAATCGCAAGTCAGGTGACCTTCTCTCTCCCCTCGTTCGGTATTTATTGTTCTATTCTAGTTCCAGTCTTCCAAAAAAGGATTACTCAAAGGATATTTATTAACCGTAAACAAACTTCATCGGGCAAGCGAAAACTAATTACAAAGCCACGAACCTGAAAACCCAGTTTGTTATTTACATACGAATAGACAACGTTCGGCGTCTGGAACCATATTCCATAGAACTCCATAGACTCCATTCCATCTGGAGTCCTTCTAGAGCGTCTTTAAATAGAATGGACTCCTTCTATCGAGTACCCTCTAGAATTCCAGAGCTATTAAAACACGTGATTTAGGGGGGGTATATAGACCTCGGGAGCTAGAGAAATAGGTAAGAGTACTAGTATCGAATACGTTTCTTTATAATTAAACTCAGCGCACTCTAGAGGAGTACTATACTGTACCTGGCGAGCACGGCTAGAGGGGACCTTCACGTGACCTTCTATTTGACTAGACACCCTAGCGAACTTCCTATTGGTCTACGGAGCAGGGCCCCATTTATCTAGGTCATGTAACAAATTCCAGCTGGAATTCCATAAAACTCCATGGAATACCCCCTCTGGAATAGACTCCTTCTATTAATATACTAAATGGAATGGAGTCCTTTCAGAGGGGGGGTCTGGAATGGAATTGAATTTCAGATGCCGAACGTTGCGAATAGACGTGAATCCGCGAGACTAATAAGCTGCCTTTAATCCTAGACTTCCTCTTCCTTTCACTTTTTCTTCGCGGCCCTGATTCCACGTGTAAATCCTAGAAAGGTTTTCGTCCGCTTCTTTAGGAAGGCGAAGAATGACATGGAAGGCTGCTTGTTCTCTTCCGAAGCTGGTCGATACAATTCGTGGTCGAAATCCGTTGAGCTGCTGGCTAGTATAGGTCTCGTATCAACAGTAACATCAGGCCCGATTGTGGAATGGTCCTTAACTCGTTCCTTTCCAATTGTAGTACTACGAGTGGGAGCCGGAATTGTAGTTTCTTCTGGTACATGAGGCGATATACTATCAGTTGGGTATTCCGTTGCAATTTCAGCCGTTGCAAGTATGGATGCAGCTGGTTTTTTCGCTTTTTCACAAACCGATATCGCCAAGTCCGCCTCCGTGGAAGCAGTTTTATCCGCGCCACGAATGGCCCCGGTTTCGATTGGGAATATTGTTCCAAGAACTGCCTTGTACATAGCAAATTCAGAAGTATCGCTCCAGTAGCCAGGACACTTCAGGGTTTTGCTTGCAGAAGTTTCCGGACTTTTTAGGTAGCGCTGTAGATCGCCGGTGATGAAATTATCGAGATTCGAAAATGTTTGCATCGTCTCGTGTTCAAGGTGCCAGTGGTTCTCGATATGGGAGAATCGTTTTTTCCAGTCCGCGCCAACGATTCCACAGTATCTGCATTGCCACAAGCTACACTCCAAACGTCTGTTAAGCGTTAAACTCCACTCGTCCATACTATTTTCAAATGAGTGAGTTTTGGCGTTAGAAACTCCATGGACCTCAACCAGATGAGCTACAAGATCGGAACTCGATCGAAATGGCAGACATTGTGTATGTTGAAAACATTGTGTCATACTGTGTCGTTCACTATAGTGGTGATTGACCAGACGATGGCAGGTGTAAAATATGCACTTTCGTCTCGCAAGGCTACTGGGAAAATCATGAGATAGCGTGCAGAACCAAACCTTGAAGGGTACGCAATGCTGCTGAGTCTCGTGTTCTTCCCAGTCTTGCCAATCGAATATTTCGTTACAGTAAGATCACTGTATATCAAATGGATCTGGGCCACATTCCCTGCGTTTGTGGCGAGTATTGTAGTGATTTGCCAAGTCGCCTTTACTCTGAAAGCTCTCGTTACATCGTGTGCATTGTACACCCTTCATTCGTTTCTCGCGCCTTTTTTGTTTCTGGGAAGAGCGAGAGATGTTGGATGACACGGAGTGGGCCTGGAACCCAGCAGAGCTGCAGCTACGTGCAACAGAGCGTACCTCCATTTGCTCCAAATCAGATAGGGGAACGGCGTGCATAGATAATGCATGCAGGGACGACCCATCTGGAGCATGTTCCTGATATGCTCGATGGATGGTTTCCATAGGGACAGCGTCTTCAGGTGATTTAAGGAATTCCTCAAGTCAAGAATATGACGGTTTGTTCTGTAGACTTTGTGAGATGTTTTCTTCGGATATTTGATACGAAATTCTTCTGATGTCAACGAATTCTGTACTTTTGGGATGGTCTGTTTTCTTGTTGGCCTTCGAAGCATCTGCTGATGAATCAGTAACTATACAAAGGAATCGGGTCGGGGGTGGTACTGGTAATATGGCCAGCTTCTTCACTTCCAAGAGTTTTAGATCCTTGGGAGGATTTTGCAACTCCCTCTAGATTTGCTGCCAAATTTATAGTTTCTGACTTTATCTTGCGTTTACGGTTATTGATGAGATTCTGGACTTGACCTTCTGTGAGAAAGTGTATTCTAGCGTAGTCCACCTTTTCTTTCTTGGTTGGTTTTGGACAACTTGTGATTCATCGCCCAAACTCTTCTTTCTCTTCTTTGGTGTAATCGCGTCTGCGAGACGGTTGAACGGGGTGATCTTTCTCCGGCATCAGACCCGTTCCTTGACCAATATCTTGAGATGGCAAATGAAATGGGGTTTCAAAATCCATCACTGTGGTGTATTCGGCCAGTCGCTCCGTGTGAGCATGCGTGGGAACTTGAACTTGTGTATAAAGGATTCCATTTAAATCAACCTGGGAAGAGGTATAAGTTGAAACTTCCCACCAGCAGGACGAAATACCGCAAACTCACGTCTGAGATATTGGGGTATTTTATGGGATCTGGTCCATCAAACACAGAATTAACATTGCCAAATTCCTTGCTGACATCATGAGCTGTTTCGAAATGAACTGCCCGGAGCGCTGCACAAAAACAGAACGAGGCATCATTATTGCTCCCAATTTGACGATGGAGACACAGTTCATTGCAATCCAAACAGATACCCTCGCCCATCATTGTGAAGTGACTCGAATGTAATTGTTGACAGTCTTGATCAAAGTTCGGAATTTGAGTCGGTTGAGCTCAGCCTCATGAAGCAAGAATGCCTGAATGTTATCAGGTGTTGATTTGGTCACAGTTGTATACCCTGTACATCAGTACCACCAGATCCAACCTTTCAGGCTGAATCTCAGGCAACTAACTTCAATTCTGAAATTCCACTGATGCGATCAAGTGGGTATGATAACCAAAAATCAAAGGATGAAAATGCAGACTAGGTGCAACATTAATATAGATTTAAATACTGGGATTTAGAATTCTAAGGCCATTCAATGAGAAGAAACTCAAATCCAATTGTCGCTTTGTTGAAATTCAACCCCACGCAAAGCAACTCTTTGAGAAGCAGCAAAAAGCCCACAGAAAAACGAACAAGTGCTCAAGATTTCAATCCCCCCAAATACAATAACTAACACAAAAACAAGTGTCGCTATCCACAGAAGCCATCATCGCCCTCGTATTTGGACTCATAAGTCTCCTGACATACATCACAAAACTCATCTACACCCATTTCCTCACGACAACCACAGGTAAGAACCCAAAATCCAAGTCGACCCCGGCCCATAACAAATACTAACTATTCACAGGAGTTGACTTGGAATCCCTCTCCCACCGCCGAGGACGAATACTCCTCTTTAATACAAGTAGAGAGAAACCATTTCAATACAGCACGATACAAAAACCACCGCCTGTGCAAACAGCATCTTTCAGGTTGTAAAAATGCCACGTGAGGGAATTAGAAGATAATTTTTGACAACGATACTGGAGTGGAGCAATAAGTAGTGCAAAAGAATTAATTCGAACCAAATAACTAGACCTAGTTTCTAATAACATGGAACAAACACTTTAACAAAGTCCCTACCTACACAGTCTCAAGAATCCCAGAAACTCACGTACAGTAGCTCTACACTAACATCCAAATTAACATAAAACTTAAAAACTCACCCCAACAACCCATTTCTCCTCCCTCCCTCTCTCTCCCCCTCCCCCCC